TTTTTTAGTTAAAACTGCAAAATTTTGGTGGAACAGGATCTGCCAACAAATTTACAATAACTGAATTTGCATTGGCTTGTTATGCACAGTGTTATCAGAAGTTTAAATGGTCCTAAATATTCAGTAAATTGGTATATAATTATGTAGTTGAAAATTATATATTTCATTTAGCAATCTTTATGAAAAAATAAAAATATACTGTTAAACTCAACTATCTGAGAATTGTTTCTTGGCAAAAGTGAACAGTGTTCAGAGGTGCTGAAATGATGTTTATAAGATAATATTACTAATATAAAAAAAATCTTTAGAATGGGCTTACAGGCTATTTGTAAACAGTTTCCAGAAAAGATTCAGAAAGTAAATTCATTTTTATATAGAGTAGCAGAATATATTATATATCTTTATCCTATTACTATATTTTTTACCTTGTCAATAAAAACAATTCTGGTAGTCTATTACACACACAAATTCAAAAAGAAAAAATAATGTATGAAATGCACATACTTAGTCTGATCGAATAATTCCTACACATATTGAGATCCCAAGTCAATATTATTTATCTCTAAATATCTACATACCTCTCCATAATCAAATACCTCCTTCATATCTTGTATCTTCTTATTTATGACAGTTATATGGCCCTCATGAATTATGTGATCATATTTATCCTGGTTTTGAAATTGTAAATATTGCGTAGGATTTGTAGTAAATCTACCTTGAGTTTTTCGTCTGTTATTCTTAGATTTGTGAGACATATCTTATGTATAGTAATTGAGACATTCAATTTTTTTTCTTGTCAAAAGTAATCAGTGTTATAAATTATAATATGCACACGATTTTGATGAAAATCTTCCACATAATTCTGATCAAGACAAATGGTTACATAGAACCTACTTTATTGATATATAAAAAATGTTACCAAAATAACAACATATAAAAATAAAAAAAAATCATATCGCAGTTACATACTGCAGAAGTAAATAAAAAAAATAATTATTCATTGGTGTATGCAACAATGTGATATACATTTTCAGGAGGATCCCCATTGAAAAAACTAGAGATTAGAGCTGGTGATTGCATACATCTTTCGTCTACAGGTCCAGGATGACAAATTTGACAAATATCAAGAGGAATGTTAGATTCTAACTGATTCTGAATTGCAGTTTGGAGATCATTGACTGTTCCATTTCTGGGAATCACAATTACGAGGGAAACATTATTGGCTGAAAGTTGATTACATGGGTTATTAAGAATAACAATACAATTGAGAGTGATATTGTTGGCCATTTTCATGTTTCCTAGATAAGTAAAAATTCATTAACAATGGATAGAGTCCTTATTGCAAATATGCATAATGAACACCAGCAAACCAAACATGTTACCTTATAAAAATTGCGAAAAGATAAGAAATGAGAGTTTTGTGGGAAATTCAAATGTCAGTCCAGGAAAGACAACATAAAAACCCTCAACTAAATCTTCAACCAACATTTGACCACTTGTGCCAGCAACCTGCAAAAAAGGAACATTGATTTTTTTTCACCTGTTCATCATTCAAGTTGCAGTTTAACAAACCATTTAAAATTGACTGATTTATCCATGCAGATTGGCAACAGTCACCAATTGCCTTTTGTGCCATTAAGTTTGATATGAATTCCCACTCTCCTATATCTACTCCTAACGTTGATAAGAAGCATACATCACATTTGTGACCCTTGTTGTATTCTATACTTCTAGTTAATGGGCAAAAAGACTCACCCCTTTGATACATAAAACTATGGTGTTAATAACTTGTGAAAGCATAATCATAAAGAAACATATCTTATTATTGATTCATTCACACAAACCATTTTTGATGTATTACAAGTAGTGATGTTAGCCGGCTAATAATCTGCATGCATAATTTCTAAATTTGGTAATAGATTTCTGTGTTACTTTCTTGTTATAGAAATAAAATTACCAATTTAGGTAGTAAACGGCTTAGCTGGCTAAGGATTTTTAAATGGCTAACATCACTAATATGGGTGATGCTAAGAGTTCACCGCAAAAACCTACAGGAAAAAAATCACGTATCATAAATCCAGTGGTGCATCACATGTATCATGATCATGATGATTCCAACAATTATTATGATCCACCTTCACCATCTCCATCAAGACATTAAAGATGAAATTAAAGTTTTTATTTACTATACATTGGATTTAGATTTAATGAAACGTTTTTGTAATATGATTATTGAATTATTGGTTAGTGAGTACATGTAAAATTTACTTTGCATTCTTAAAATAATATTCTTGAGATATGAAATGGGAATTGTTAAGTCTTACTATAAAAGTATAATAAAAAATTAATAAAGTATTCCACAATAGAACCTATTAATCATTATCAGATTGCACGATCTGCAATGTTTTTATTCATGATTTAGTCTTGATTTGATACTGTAAACATTCAAATAATTATCACAATTATTTAACATTTTTAATAAAAAGGTAATTTAATTGTTTTAAAATTACAAAAGTTATCCTTTATTTGATTAAATTTTAGTCATTTAAATAATAAAATTACATGTCTTAAAATAATATAAATTATAAATTATATTGTAATAATTAAATAAATTAAAATACAATCTCTAGATTGTATGGAAAGCTTATAGACTTCCCGGAAAGTACAATCATAGTTAAAGATAACTTTTATTAAACATAATATAAAAATAATAAATAATATAATAGTATTCTCCTCAATCTAACAATATGAATAATAATATGACATCTAAAACCTCTAATAAAATATATGATTACAATTATAATAATATCTTTAATTCTTTAGCGCCACGACAATAATACCGATTGTTAATAGGATTTTTATGGATTACCAAATATGGTAATAAAAATTAATTACCAAATTAGAATTATTATATTTTTTTTTGTGATCAATAATAATTCAGGGATTGTTACAGATACCCTGTGATAAACATATTTGATTCATATTTTTTGGAATCTTTAACGATGGCCCGTCGCTGAAAATTTGATACTTTAGTTACATTTTAAATAAATAATAAGATATAAAAAATCCATTACTAAAACATGCAATCTGAAATTGATTCACTAAAGCAATGAATTTCTGAGCTTGAAACCAAGAATGCTGAGCTTTTAAAACAGGTTATGGAAGAGAATGCCAAGTGAGAAGCTGAAAATGCTGAGCTCAAGGCCAGAATCGAGGAGCTAGAGAAAAATAAAATAGATACTACTAACCTCAAGGCTGAGAACAATAAGCTTAATACCAGGGTTGTGAAATTAGAACAGTCATCAAACAATATTACACACGAATTAGAAAATTCTGTTCTCCATGAAGCATCGTCTGTAAGGTTGTGGGCAAAACTCTTCCAGAAATCAGTTGCAGAGTTGTACACTAATTGTTTATTAGAGTTTTGCATTTTGGGGGTTTCGACAATTGACAGATTTTCAACAGGTTGCACATTAATTGTTTATTAGAGTTTCGACAGAGTTTCAATTAGTCACTAAGAGGTTTCGCCCACAACCTTAATCATCCGATATTTCTTCCAATATATGTGCACCCCCATCCAAGTCTAAATTGTTAGAAGATATAGAGACTGATAATTTCCTAGATGTGCAGAGTAAGAAAGAGGTTAGTGATATGATGAGAAAGAGGAGCAAGGAAAAGAAACTTCAAACTCAAGGGTCACATAATACCTCTTTACCAATGTCAACTCTGCTGATACCATCTGAAATATCAATTTCTAATGATGATTCACCTGAAGTCTTTGAAGCTCTGGACTTAAAAACCAAGAATCAAAATCAAAGTAAAAGCCAGAACGAATCACACAAGAAAAAGGGAACTGAGAATATTGCTCAAGCGATAGCTGATGGCATTCAGGATGCACTTGCGCACAGCTCCACTGATAATATCCATTCAGATTTGAATCATGTGACTGAAATTTCAGTGATGGGCCATTGTCAAAATTCTGATACAATCTCATTACTTGATTTAGCTCAATTATTTGATAAAGCAACTAATGCTGAATATTATGCTATGAAAGCTAACCAGGAAGAAACCTTATGCTGGATCAACTATGGAAATGAATTCATAATTCAGTATAATGATCTTATGAAAAATAGTAATAGCAAAATTGGTGAGAAAAAGGCAAAAGGTATAATTTATGATAAAATATTACTATTATCTGTGAAAAAAGATCCAAGGAAATAGGATTACAGCTTCCAGAAATCTCACGTAAAACTTTATGTAGAAAAACCCAAAGGGCTGTAAAGACATATAAGTTATTTGAAAAAATAGGCAAAGATAAAATTAAGTACTTAAAACATATAGCACAAATTCTATTTCAGAGTTGACCAATGATCAAATTCAAAAGATTATCAATAATAATAATATTTCTGATCGTGATGAGTTCAATATAGAGGAGGAATCAAATCACATGACTGAAATTTCAACAACATCCTGTCACCAAAATCATGAAACCGAAATTTTGCCTGAGGTAAGTATATCTACCAAACCTCAAATCTCTAACTCTTCTGTGAAAATAAAGAACTTACCAGAAGCCAAGGTAAGTATACCACTTGTATCTCATCCCAAAAAGGCTTTATTGGAAACTGAGGTAAATGCATTATCAGCATCTCAACCTCAAACTGAAACAAAGACTTTACCCAAGAAACAGAATAATCCAACCCATAACCATGCTTACTTTCATAATAAGATATTGTTGTGATATTCAGATCTATATAAAACATTTATTGCTGAAAAATTTGATTACTATGGAATTAATGAGGGGTCATTATGCCCAGTATGTAAACTAGATCATGAAGATGGGAAAAGTGTAAAAGGGTAATACCGAAAAAAAGTAATGTATGAACCCCTATGTATGTAATGTATTAGGGTGTGCAATGCCCTAATTAAATCAAAATTAATTGGTGAACTGTCTATGAATCGGGACAAATGATCTACATTTAATGATAAATTTTGGGTTAATAAAACATATCTCACTTTCCTCACTAATTAAACACCTTTATAAAAACATAAGTTTAGTAGAAGAGTTAGATGATGAAGTGTGAATGGAGCGAGAAGAGGCTGAAAAAGCACTGAATAAAGCCATGGAATGGAGAAAATGACAAATGTTTGAAACTGTGTTGAAGCATGATGCTGCAATGGGCAAACTTCAAGACCGAATAGATTTATTAGAAAATAATTTAGCTGCTAAAAATCAGAAAATAAACTGAAAAGATTATTTAACAACCAAAGAATTACCATCTTTACCAAAGAAACAAAAAGAAAATAGATTATGCAAACTCAAAAAATTAATAAGTAAAGTAAAAGAAAAGGCTAAAGAGAAATTCCAGACTTTTATTGTTCAAAAGAACAAGTAAACCAATATGAGATTAGAATATAGAATTCTGGAAATAGCCCAGGGAGATGAACAAGAGTGTAACTTCTGTTTTCTAGAT